GAATATACAACTCTCTGCTTAAGAATGGCCAACAGCTCCCCACTGTCCTGTTTGTTTAATTACCTCACAGCCTGGCCATGATTTCCCTTCAGCCGAATCTCCCACTATCTCCACCAAATTGCTCCCCAAAACTCACTGCTTTCCTGCTCCTTTACCTCAAGCCATTCCCTCCTCCTGGAATCCTCCCCATCACTCCACCTACCAAATTCATTCAGAAAGTACCCCACCCACCCCACTGCTGCCATCCCAGGCTTTTCTGACTCTTTAAATGGAAATGAATTCTCTCTTCTTTAAGCCCCCAGAACAAGTTACTTGACCTTCTCTTGTAAAACAAACCTTATCCCATCATCCAGTGGAGCCTCAAAGGTGTTATACTCCTGCTAGAAAGCAGAGAGCTTTGAGGGCACTCTCCTGTACATCTGCTTCTCCCCCAGGACCCGCAGGGCGCCTCGCTGCAACAGGTGCTCACTGGGTATTTGTGGAGTGAAAAGCGCCACCCACGTAGCTGAATGCCCAGGGATCCTGGGCCACTGCTCTTTCCCACCCCACTCCCAGCCTCCTGGGATGGCACAGCTTTGAGCTCATGTGCAGAGTGCAAGTCCCCTCTGCAGGAGGCTGACAGCCTGTGACACCAGAGACAGGGCTCAGTTACTATTTTGTTGCCCTGATCTGTAGTGATTGAGCTGAATGACCCTCCATATTTACTCATTTTCCCTCATGAATGTAATGAGTGCATGTGGTTGACGCTTTGTAAATTGGCTGCTTGGGGGTCTCAGGGACCCCATGGAAAAGAAGAGCTTGGAATGAGTTGAATGGCAGTTATCCGGTGCAAGAGGCAGGCCCCTGTGACCTTGACCACACATACTGGTGGACTAACTAGGACTTTTTCTCTTCTTAATATATTTAAATAGAGTCAAGATTGGGGTCAGCTTCATGCACAGAGCGTTTTTTCAGCTTTAGAGGTGACTCTGCAGGCAGCATGAGAGAGTGCAATTGACACGGTCTATTTTTAGCCTCCCTGAGACCGTGACCAGCATCCCAAGCTGAGGGTGGGCACACCTGCTGCATTCTAATGAGGCAGCCCGATTGCCTGTGCCAGTGAGCCTGGGATCTCGACGACCTGAAATCCAATGTTGCTAAACTGGGAAGCCTGCTTATTTCCCAGAGGCTGTAGCCTAGATACACCAGGAAAATGGGACCATCACATTCCCCTGCTGACTCCCCTCCAGCCCCTGGCAGTCTTGGGGTTGTGCCCACAGCATGGTAAAGAGAAGAAGCCACTAGCTTTTTCTTTATCTTGCTCTGTCATAGTTCCTCCCTGTTTCCTTTGCAGGAAAGGAGGTAGGAAGTCTGAGGTGACCCAGCTCACAGATGAGAAAAATGAGGCAGAGAACAGGGACATGTTTATGTAACCTGAATATTAATAACTAGAGGCCCAGTGCATGAAATTAGCACAGGAAGAGGGTCTCCTCAACTCAGCCTGCACTCTCTCCAATCTGGGTCTCCTCAGGACCTCTGGCTCCTAACCATTCACCTGCCTGCCAGCCTGATCCCCCTAACTGCTCTCCCCTGCCTGCCTGTTCACCCTAAGTGTTCTCCCCTGCTGGTCTGATCCCCCTGCCTGCCTGATCATCTCTCATTTCCTCTGTCTTGGCCCCGCCAACATGACTTTGTCCGGAAGGATGTCAAGAGGGACATCAGGAAGGTTATCTGGAAGATGTTCAGTCTAATTAGCATATTACCCTTTTATTAGTATAGATGCCACCTTGTCCTAAAAATGCAGGATGTTCCCAGGTTTTCCTATTGTGGAAGGGGAGTCCACAGTAACATCCTGGGTTCTGACCAAGGCTTATGTGCTTGTGCTTTATCTCAGAAGATATGATTCCTAGAAGACTCTTGGATGTACCTTGAACATTTCTATTGAATCATCCTCAAAAATGTTGAACCACTTTAAACTCCCACCAACAACCATGCATGTGCCCTCTGTCCCACTTTGATGCCAATATCATTGATTTCTCCCTAGAAGCTTCCCTCTTGTTAGCCAAAATTGCTTGGTACTTGAGCCAACCTCATTGTTCAGCTGGGCAATTGATTTCCTGAGATAGAATTATGGAGGAGGAAAACTTGTTTTCCTCTATCTTTCTGAGTTCTTAGTGGAGGCCCTTGTAATGAAAGACAGATCACCAAGAGAAAAACAAAAATTCGTTAGCATGTGTACCTCGTGTATATGTGGGAGATCCCAGGGAAAAATGAATAACTCCCCAAGGTGTCTTAGAATGCAGATTTAAATACCTTCTTTCTAGAAAAAGGGAATGGGGGATGTAGGCCTCTTAGTGGAGAGTAAATGATTTTTAGGAAAGATGAATGGAGTGGGGGTAGAGGGAGAAATAGTTTGTAATAAAGTTTGGGTGTGATGTCAACTTCCACTCTCCTGTCCTGTGACAGGAGTTAGTCTTCTCTGCCTGATGGCACTTCTTCTGTCTAAGCTCCTTTTGGGGGGTCCAGTTTTAGGCAGATCAGGAGATTTCAGTGAAAGCCTCTGCATGCATTTGCTATTTTGCAAGGATCTGAAGCTCAAGATCATCAATATAACAAGACAGCATATGTTGGGGTGGCATGTTCTCTGACCTTCAGAATAAACCCAACAAAAGCTTGTTTCCTCTCTTATATGATTTGCCACAGAAGCATTATTCCCTGGAAACGGTATTCTGACCAGACCTTCCTGGGCGTGGTCATAACATACCCTGTGCTTCTAGAAGGTGTGGGCCACATGACTAAATAATCCAGGGGCAGTTTTCTCATCTTGTGGAAAGGGAGATAAAATTGTGATAGTTTATCTCCCTTTCCACAGGTTCCTTGGGAGTTTGTGTCTCTGCTGCCTCCCCCCTCATCCCCCCCCCCCCCCCCCAGCAGCTCCAGGGCCTCGGACACGGGCCTTAATGCTGCTGGGCGAAAGGCCTGCGGGTTTGTGTCTCAGATCAGGCCCCTTCAGCCCTAGCACAGCCATGGCAGGGTTTGGTACTGCAGGGTGCCAGCCTCCCTGCTGGTTTGTGTCTCTGATTGGTCCCCCACAGCCCCAGCACCAACCAGGGCTGGCGGGGTTTGGGGTGGCTGGGTGCCAGCCTTCCTGCTGGTTTGTGTCTCAGATCTGACCCCCTGCTGCCCCAACACCAACATGGCAGGGCTTGGTACTGCTAGGTGTGGCATCCCTGATGGTTTTTCTCTCCAGTCTGGCCCCCTGCAGCCTTAGCACAGCCATGGAGGGGCTTGGGGCTTCTGGGTACTGGTCTCCCTTCTGGTTTGGGTCTCTGATCTGGTCCCCCACAGCCCCAGCACCTCCATGGCTGGGCTTGGTACTGCAGGGTGCCTGGTACTGTGGGTGCCAGCCTCCCTGCTGGTTTGTGTCTCAGATCAGGCCCACAGCAGCCCCAGCACTCCCATGGCGGGACTTGGTACTGCAAGGTGCCAGCCTCCCTGCTGGTTATGTCTCCAATCTACCCCCCCCCCCCCCCCCAGGCCACCTGGCTGCTATGGGCCTCACCATCTTGGTTGGATTAATTTGCATATTCACTCCTATTGGCTGGTAGCATAGCAAAGGTATTACGGTCAATTTGCATGTTTCTCTTTTATTAGATAGGATAATAATAATAATTTATTATATGCCAGGCAGTGTTTTAATATCTTTACTTATAGTAACTCATTCAAATTTCTGGACAACTGCATCAGGTAGTTTTTATTTTGATCTCTGCTTATGGAGGAGGAAACTGAGGCACAGTGATGACAAAATGACTTCCCAAGGTCATTTGTCAGCCAAGTAGCAGGGCAGGGTTTGAATGCCAGGCGGTGTGGTCCCATGGTTTGCATTCTTGCTCTATGCTGTCTGCCTCTCAATGTCTTCTTTCATTTTACGAGAGTCCGGGTAGGATCCAGGAGCCCTGATTCTCAGCCCCAGACAACCAGCCACACTGCACATGACTCCCTCTGTTTTTAAAGACTCTTCTGCTCTGAGGCCTTTGCTGTGCTGTGCACTCCTGCGTTTCCTCCACTCCAGGGAGAGGAGGCTCTTCCTGTCAGACTGTGCAGAGAGGCTTAAACTTCTGGGCCCGGAAGTTCTCCAAGTATCTATCTCCCTCTCCCTCCTCCCCTTGGCCTGTGGGAGTGGCGGGCGGTCAGTGCTGGGCAGCAGCAGTGGGTGTGCAGCTGGGCCAGTGTCAGGTCTGGGAACCCAGAAAGAGCAAAGCTGGTGGTACCCGGACAGGTCACTGAGGTGCGGGTCTTCACAGTTCAGGCAAATTGCTGAAGTCCAGAGCGACCATGAATCAGAAACCAGAGTGGGAGACAGCAGGTGTGAGGCCCTGAACCCCAGAGACTTGCATTGTGGGGGCCCGTGGGGGTGACTTCCTAAGGAGGCAGATAGGACTCATTTTAATTTAATAAACACTCAGTGCTCTGACCTTTTCTAAGCTCTTTATAAGCACCAACTTGTCCAATCCTCGGGACAACTCTAGGTGATGAGAACCATTCTATCCCCATTCTAGATAAGGGGAAACAGGGCCACCACGAGGTTAGTCACTTTGCTCAAGGTAATACAGCTAGTATGGAGAGCAGAATTCATGTTTCAGGAGACTGGCCCTGGAGTCTCTTCTCCAGTGACCATGCTGAACATCTTTCCCCTTATTGAATGTTCACTATTTGCCTCTAAAGAAAGGTACTGTCCTAATTTAACAGAGATGGAAACTGAGGCCTAGATGGGCTCAAGTCACTTGACTAGTAAGAGATGGACCTGGGTTCAACCCAGATCTGTTTGGCTCCTGAGTTGCACGGCCCCTCAGCCATCAATGTGACCGCCAGAAAGCTTGAAGGCACCACCCACCCCTCAGGAGTGGCCATTTGGATGACTGAAGCGGGCCTCAGGGACCAGGAAGGGAGGAGGGGCAAAATCTCAGATGGCAGGGCCTTGCTGCCACTATTCACACCAGGCTCCCTTTTTTCGCCCTCAGGTGAGCAGTACCCCCTCTCAGCCCCCTCAGCCTGTGGTCCCATCCAAGCCTGTGCAATGTGTCCATCATGTGTCCACTCAACCCAGCTGTCCAGGACGGGGCAAGATGTCCAAGCTGCTGAACCCAGAGGAGATGACCTCAAGAGATTATTACTTCGACTCCTATGCCCACTTTGGGATCCACGAGGTAAACCATCCTGAGCTGGTGGCCGAATGGGGCAAGCTGGGTCCTGCTGTTCCATCACTATCCTCTGAGGCAGTATGTGCTCAACTCTCCACTGTCATGAAGTGAGTTCTCCCAGTGGTCTGAGGACCCTGACTCTCTCTCCATCCAGAGTCCCTCTGGGAGGGGGTCAGGGACAGTCCTAGCGCAGGTGAGTAGGTGAAAGTGTGTGTCTGTGTTACTTAGCTGGTGAGCAAGGAGAGCTCAGGGTCTCTGTTTTACAGCCCAACACCTGTGTCTCTTCCCAGACCTCAGTTCAGAGGGTCCAGGTGGACTGAAAATCCTTGGTCCTCTCTCCGGGAGCTCAGATGCTTTGCAGCTAGGGTCCTATAGCCAAAGGCCTTCTGGAGGTAATAGGGTCAGCCTTCAGGCAGGATGGACATGAATCCTTAGGTTTGTCCCGGACCAATGAGTGCCTCCAGGGAAGAAATGCAGCAAGTGTCCTTGGAAACCTGGCCCAGGTCTGGCACCCTGATTGGTTCTCAGGAAATTTCTTTGTGTAAATGCTTGTCTTAATCCACAGCAGGGAAGACTTCCGGGAGCTGCAGCATAGAACAGAGCTTCCTGACAAGAGGCTTTCTGAGACCTGTACCCCCAGCCCTGCATCACTTTTTAACTCTCTCAAGCCACTCCAAATAAATGACTCTATTTAAACTGCATGCTTACTGCTCTAAGCACAGTATATGTATCATTTCATTTACTCTTCCTAAGAACCCTACAAAGAAAATATTTCTATTATCTCCTCAAGAAATACTGAAAAAGGGAAAAAGGTTTGCTTGTTATGCAAATGTCTTTTCAAAATATGTCTCAAAGCCCTCCTTCCAATTGGATGCTTCTGTAAACCCTTCCTGTATCGAAAAGGCTGCACTGCCATTGCCAGGCATGTTTAGTAATAATAATCAGCACTTTTCTTGAGTGCTTACAAGAATCTGGCTGTTGTTCTGGGTGTGTTATATTATTGGCTCATTTATTCCTCAGGTCAATCCTATGAAGTTGGTATTATTATCTGTCTCCATTTTATAGATGAGGATATAAGACCTTAAACATCAGATTGCCTTTCATTCACCCTTGCCGGTTCCTTTGCACACAAAGTTATAGGCTAATGAATAGCAGAGCTAGAAATGAAACCTTCGAATTTTGGGCTCAGGGGCTTCAAAATTCAAAATTCAAAAAAAAGTATGAATTTTCCTGGAAATGTTGATGCTGTTCCTGCCTGCTCCTTTGCAATTCCATGTGACGGTAGAGAGTGGATGTGGGGTCCCTCAGTTACTACCAGACTCTGGCTCAAGGTTTGGCCCCCTAAAAACCCCTCTCCATATAAAAGCTCTGGCCTGTGGTGCGGGCCTGGCCCAGGGTGACCTGGGCAGTCAAGCTTGCTGGTTTTGGTGGATCGAAAGCCCTGTCAGGGCAGATGGGTGAGTTGTTGTGCCTATTGTGATCCTCTTTCCGTGGGACCTGGGGTTGGGATGGTGCACGCGTAGAGCCCTGTCTGGGGCCTGTGAGAGGCTCTGAGAGGCAGAAAGGACTCCTTCAAGAGCTCTCCTCCCCAAGGTCCTGCGGCTAGTTAAAGGATGTGCCCTCCATGTGATTAATTCTAACAGGCTCATGGCTCTGAGAACCTATATCAGGGCAGAACTGCAGTCCCAGGGGCCCTGATGTGCTCCCCTTGGGCTTTCCGAAACCCCTCCTGACAGAAACCAACCCTCCACGATGTGCATTCAACTCCCCACTCATCTTTAGGCTGCACTCCCTCATGGAGCCTCCCCTGATTGACTTCTCGGACACCTCCCTCTGCATTGCTAAGTTCTTGCTGGGCAACATTTGACACCTAGGATGTGCTCTCCTGGGCTACTGTAATCTCTATAATTCTTCAGGTCTTGGTTCCCCAGCCTCTAACCCAGTGTTTGGGCACATCATCTGATTGGCAAAGGTTTATTGATGTGCCTGCTATCCTCATCACTCTGGTGATGCCTGGCTAGCACCATGGCCAACCATCCAGCAGGGTATGATCTCCATTGAGAGGGGACACCAAGGGTCATCAAATAAACATTATAGTATGCCTCCTCAATTTCATGTATAGACAGAAAAATCAAATTTGTACATGAACATATATAAACATAGTGTTGACTGAGCTAATTAAGTTGGAGTAAGCCATCTGCAGGTCATAGATAACCTGTCTTTTCTTAGTAATCTACCCTAGAATAGTTAGCAATGCTTCACATGAGAAAGTATTTCTGATCACCTAACTTAAGTTCCTCCTCCTGCTGCTGCTGGCCATCTCTAGATCCTGGCCTCAGGGAAACACAAAGGTCGGTAATGCAGGGGTGGCTAGTTGGCGTTCCTTCCTAGTTGAAGCTTTCCCTTCACCCTGTTTTTGGCCTCTGGTAGGAAATGAGTGGATGGACTCTTTACATTGTTCTTCGTGGAGAGAGGGCCTGCTCATTTTTGTTATCAAATGCCAGGGATCTCAGTTCTGCCGCAGACAGCTCACAGCAATGCCTTTGCCTCCTCAGTCTGGGCAAGACCCATATCTCACCATCCGGAGCCGAGCTGGCCGTTTGGCAGTCTTCTCCTGTCATTAACAAGATGCTCACAGGGCAGGCAGCAGCACCGCCAGCTTGCTGATTAATAGTGATCATTGAGTGTTTAGGAAACATGGTGCTTGGGTTTGATGAGTCTGCAAATACAAAAGAGAAGCGCTGGGTTGGGGGAAGAACACTGTTGGGGTCTAGAGAGCACAGCAGGAGGTGGTCTGGACACTTCTGTTCTTCCATCTCATGACTCCATCCAGAGAGGACTCCATACTCAACCTTCAGAGGGTGGGATGAGGGAGAGGGCCCTGTGGCCTTCCATCACAGAGCCTCTTTGAGAAGAATGGAATCTTGAACAGGAACAGAAGAGACAGGTGTCTGCCGATTGAGGCCTCTGCTCAGAGTGGAGAGAGCCCGCTCTGTGACCTCCCGCAGCCCCGCTCTGAATTCTCAGCATCTTTGATAGGTGCTGGGCGTGGTGCCTCAGCTGCCTGCCAGTGGGCTGTGTTGCACCCTGGGTGCCCGTCCCATTCCTGGCCAGCTCTGTTCTTTTGACAAGCTTGCTGTAGTTTCTTTTCTTTTCTTTTTTTAATGTTTTTATTAAATTATTATCTGTGTACATATTTTAACATTGCCCCTCCCTTCCATACATACCCTCCCTCCCCAGAGTTTTGTGTCCATTGGTTGTACTTATATGCATGTATACAAGTCCTTCGGTTGATCTCTTATCTCCCCCAGATATCCCTACCCTCCCAGCTGTAGTTTGACAGTCTGCTTGTTGCTTTACTGTCTCTATAACTATCTTTTGGTTCATCAGTTTATAATGATCTTTATTATCCATAAGTGAGTGAGGTCATGTGTTATTTCTCTTTCATTGACTGGCTTATTTCACTCAGCATGATGTTCTCCAATTCCATCCAGGTTGCTGCAAATGATGAGAATTCCTTCTTTTTATGGCAGCATAGTATTCCATTGTGTAGATGTACCATAGTTTTTTTATTCAATCCTCCGCTGATGGCAGTTTCTTTTGAAACATTCTTCAAGACCTCATTTCTCAGCAATTAGTCAATGTGCTGTCACATGTTTAACAGACAAGAAAGCTGGGAGACAAAGTCATCCACAGCTGGAGCTGGGAATTGTTCTCACCAGAGTAGCCTGCTCTTAAATGTCTGAGACCTCTTTGGGTCATTCTCTCCCAGGGATGATTAAAGCAGGGGTGGAGGAGGGAGAACCTTTACTTTGGACAGACCGAGTGGAGGAAGATTTGCTAAGTCACAACTTTCCTTCTCTAAAAACTTGCATCTTTGGACCTAACTCCTGTGGCCTGGAGCCTAAGGAAGGGAAGAAGGGACCAAAGAAGAGACAAAAGGCAACGAATTAAAGGGGAGGAGGCACTTGGGCAGCTTTGCTTCAGCATCAGTAGGATCTGCAGAGATATTGAGCCAATCTAATTCCATCAGGAAAGGCTGGAGGACTTTTAACCATAACTCTGAGTGAGAGATTTCTGAAATATTTGCTTTTATTTTTTCTCCATTCTCTGCTCACCTCTAACAATTTCTTTGCAAGGATGAAGAGGGTTATCATCACAAAAGGCCAGAGCTAACACTTATGTAAAACTTATTACATTTATTTAACTATCACAGCAACCTTTTGAAGTAGGCGTTCTTATAACCCCATATTTCAGATGGGGAAATTGAGATACAGAGTCTGCATGATGTTCTGTATCAGAGAACTCAAAAGCATTAGAGCTGTGATTTGAATGTAGGAATTCTGGCTCCACTATATGCTATTGTATTTATAGAGCATGGGTTATGCACCATGCCTTATGCCTGGTTCTGGGGAAACCATCTGCAGTCTGTGGTCTTGCACTGTGAAGTCTTGCAGTTTTGATGTCTAGAAGTCTTGGAATGTTTGATCCCAGACATCTTGGGAGGGAAGGGTTTGAGCTCACTTTCAAATAAGTTAAAGCCAAAAGTAAATTCAACCTAAGTAAACCCTTCCATGCTCAGATTTTAGTATGATCAAATATATGAGCTCTGAGGCAGCACAGGAAGTAGTTAGTGGCTCCGCTGAAAAGCAAATAGTACAAGATCTTTTAGTCCCTGTGATTAAATTCCCTAACAGAAGAATTAAAGCTACAAATCCATCCCAAACTTGCTCAATTCCTGATTGGATTGAACTGAGAAGCCCATCACTCTAGTTGCCTAACAAAGGAAAAGACAGTACTTTTTACAAAATAAAAAGTAACAACAATAAAAACTAACAGCTGGTAGTGTCCTTACACATTATCTACAGTATAAAATAGTTATTGTAAGATGTAAATTAACAGGAGAATTTGGTCCATAATCAAGAGGAAAATTAGTCAATAGGAACAGACCTATAAACAGCCAAGGCCTTAGAATGGTCAGAAAAACACTTTAAAATTACTATAAT